GTGATTTACTTTGAAAACCAAAGGACTCCATAAATGCAAGGACTTAATTGGACTTAAAACAAGTTATCTGCTAGCTTGTGTAACATCCGTAAACTGATTCAGCAAGTTGCTAGGATTTAATTTCTTTCTTTGTGTAGCTTTATCTGTGAAGAACCTTCTACCTCATTTGATTCAGCTTTTTCATTTCTTTCTTTTTTCTTTTAAGAATTATTTTATTTAACTTTATTTATTTATTTTAATTTGACCAGAGAGGGACAGAGTGAGATTGAGAGTGAGAGAGAGAGAGAGAAAGAGAGAGAAAGTGAGAAAATGAGCAAATGAGAAAGCAAGCCCCCAGGTCTGGAACTCCAACCATGGTTGGCCATGTGGGAGTCCATCACCCTTAACCACACCACCACCTGCCGGCCCTGCTTTTTCTTTCTTTTACTTTTTTCTTTTCTTTCTTTCTTTTTTTTTTTTTTAGCTAATTGCTTCTTCCTTGATTATAACCTGTTAGTGCTCATTAATAAATCAGACTGCTGCCATTTTACCAGTACGCCTCCTTGCGTTTCATCAGCGGGAGCCGGACTTGGTCAAGCTTCCTATCCCAGCACCCACCATTGACACAGGAGCCAGCTGGTTAGCCATCTAGGACCAAATTAGCACTTGGAGTTTCAGAACTGAGATCTGAAAGTGGTGTCTGAATTTGTTCGTTCCTGCTAAAGATATTAATGGTCCTGCCTAACACAGTATGATGGATGTGTTATTTCTTCTACCTGGTGCTATTTGTGTTCAGTTCTATTTAGCGTGTTCTCAACTGTGTTCAGTTTTCTAGAGCAGCACTTTTTAGCTTTATATAGACCAACTTCCCTATTAGTGGTGATTTCCCGGAGACATATGCTATTTCTAGGTCATCTTTAATCCCCAAAACCTAGTACAAGCAAGGGAACATGGTAGATGTTTGATGAATGTTTGAAGAGATGGCATACTTAATTAGATTTGCAGGTGACAGAGACTGAAAGGGAAAACTAGTATGTTAGATGACACAGAGAGAGAGCTTGAAAAGATGGGCTAAAGGCAGCAAGATGGAATTTAAGAAGATGACAGTGAAGTTCTGCATTTTAAGTCTCAAAGAAATGGGAACATATGGGCAGGCTGAAGGAGACTTAGTGTGATGCTATTCTTATGAAAATGGTGGTTTGGTTTCTAAGTTCAATGACAGCCAAAGGCCTTGCAGTGGCTAAAAAGGCCTTGCAGTGGCTAAAAATGGAATGCAGCTCCAGACCGAATAACTGGAGATCCTAGGTACGGTTGAGGAGGTGATAGTCCCGCTGTGTCCCACGGAGGACAGATGGCACTTAGAGGACTGTGTTCTCAAGCGGTCAGGTAGTACAAAGGTCACTGCTCACAGACCGACATTAAGGGAGGTGCCCTGAGCCACTGTTAAGCCAAGTAATGATGGCACTGGTCCACAAGGAGTTAAGTGTTGAAATTAAGAGTATTTAGAAGCTTTTACAGCAATTTGGCAGATTAATTTTATGTTTAATGCATCTAATGAAGAAAATGAGCTTTATCTTACATGTCTTTCTTTTTTTTCTTGATATTTTTCCTTCACTTACTTATTTAGGCTTTTGCCATAGGGCACATGTACTGTTGGAGAAAGACAGAGACAGAAGGAAAGTGAGAAATTGCCCCCTAAAGTAGATTTCCATGGTGCTGTCCCTTCGCCATTCTCCTCTCGAGATTTTGGGCACACATGCACGTGTATCCGGCCTGAGTTTCCAGCAACCAGACCCTGAACTTGATCTGTGGTCAACCATGTAGGAGTCCAACACCTTTACCACCATGCCACCTGCTGGCCCCTTTTCCTTTATTTTTTTTAGTTTATTTTTAAATTAGTTTGCTTATTTATTTATTGACAGTGGGGAGACGGAGAGAGAGACGAGAACCCTCGACAGAGTGTTCTCCCCCAGCCCTGCAGCCAGCCAGGATCATAGGTGTACCCAGTGTGTTGAGGCAGGCCCTGGCACGTGAAGCTGGAGCCTTCCATGTGGCCTCTAGCATCATGCAGCAGTACCCCCACTGCCTGTGCCACTGCGCTGGGCCTCTAGGTGTAAGCCTGCATTGCTTAGGCTACATCCCAGGCCAAGTGAGTCAAAAATCTCTGGTGGGATTCCAGTGTGTGTGTGTGTATAATATAATATAATATATGTAATATATATATATATATTATATATATATTAAAGTTCCCAGGTGATTTTAATGCATAGAGAGAAATGAAAATTGAAAAGTGAATACTAAGTTGGAAGACCGTAAATTCCTTGAAAGTGTGATCCTGGTCATTGATATTCCATCCCCAGTGACTTGCATAGGATGCTTAAATAGCTGTTAAATGAACCAGTGATTAAAGTACTGGGGTGTTTATTCTAGAGAAGAGAAAACTTGGAGGGGCTTAATTAATCAGTATATACACATACCTGAAAACTTTTTATGTGACTCTGAAGGGTGTTACCTGAATTCTTCCAGGAGCAGAGAGGGACCTGGCTGGATGTGAGGAAACATTGTCTCACATCCCTAATGAGATGTGAGCTCCCTTCCTGCAAAGACTCAAAGATTTGGGGCCATCAGGTGGCATGGTGGTTAAGGCGCTGGACTCCCACATGGCCAACCATGGTTCCAGTCCTGGACTTGGCAGCTTGAAACTGATGCCGGGCATGTGTGCGTGCATGGATATTCCATCCCCAGTGACTTGCATAGGATGCTTAAATAGCTGTTAAATGAACCAGTGATTAAAGTACTGGGGTGTTTATTCTAGAGAAGAGAAAACTTGGAGGGGCTTAATTAATCAGTATATACACATACCTGAAAACTTTTTATGTGACTCTGAAGGGTGTTACCTGAATTCTTCCAGGAGCAGAGAGGGACCTGGCTGGATGTGAGGAAACATTGTCTCACATCCCTAATGAGATGTGAGCTCCCTTCCTGCAAAGACTCAAAGATTTGGGGCCATCAGGTGGCATGGTGGTTAAGGCGCTGGACTCCCACATGGCCAACCATGGTTCCAGTCCTGGACTTGGCAGCTTGAAACTGATGCCGGGCATGTGTGCGTGCATGCCCAGAATCCCAGGAGGAGAGCAGAGAAGAGAAGGCACCGTGGCCATGCACCTGGGGGATGATTTGGGGGTGGGGGAAGATTCGAAGACCATAATAGGATGGTGTGCGGGGTAGAAGATCGCATGCTGTGTTTATTGATCGTTAGTTTGAAAAACTGTGTCCAAGACAGAGGACTGCCTCTGGCTCTCCTCCACTCTGTAAATGGGATGAAGGACAAGGGTGGAGGTCAAAGAACATCTTAAAAACATGTGGAAACTGAGTTCTCAGAGAACACCAAATCTTCTAATCTATGCTCTTGACCAGTTCTTTCTTTGATGTGGATTTCTCCAAGGAGTTCCCTGTGTGTTCTACCAAATTTGGGACCTCTGTTCGTGGGAATGGCTCAAACAGTCAAGGATTGGGGTGGGGTGACCCTCCCTTGACAGAGCGCTGGTTTCTCCTCTTGGTCATGGAGGGCTTCTACATCCTGGCAGTCCAGGCCCATTGAATGGAGGAGTGGACATCCGTAAGGGGAGATGAGCGACCACAGCATTTCTCTCTACCCTTATCTGCTCTTTGTCAGGCAGTAGAGAGAGGGCTACAGCAGTTGATTTAGAGATGACTAACAGGGGTGTCTTGTAAACAGCATGGCAGAGAGAGTAAATAAATAAGATAAATAAAATAAGCAAGCAAAGCAAGTAAGCAAGCAGACATAGGCTTCGAAGTCAGACGTGCGTTCTTGGGGAGGTCATGCCCTCTCACCCCTCCATTCTGGCTTATACCAAGTTCGGCTTCTAAGCTGGATCCGTGGAGTGTGCTGGTTTCTTTTCATCTCACAAGCGTTAGTCTAATTCCTTAGCCTCTGCCGTTGCATGGAGCACGGAATCTACTAACTTGCTTTGTTTCTACTCCTGTCTGCATTTCCTACTGAGCAGTCTGTGATCTTTTATCTCATAATTCTGCTTTAAAACCTTCCATAGCCTTTTTTTTTCTAAAACTTGGAACAAAACATAAACTTCTCATTATGACCTAGACGAGATGCCCCATAATCTGATCCCCAGTCCTGCTTCTTGATCTGGGCTTGAGGAGGTAATCCTTCCTTCCTAGGGAGCATTTGGAAGCCAGAGGACCAGGGCCCTGAAAGTGTTTTCATTGTCCTTCTATAGGGAGGTAGAACTAGCACTGGGGTGGGGGGGTCTGGACCCGGTTGGGTGCGCGTTCCCCGCAATTGCTCGGCTCGCTCAGCCTCCATCCCACTGTGCCCTCTAGAACCTGTGCTGGAGGGTATGCTGCAGCCCCGCTCGCTGGCTGACCTCAGTTCTGATGGTGTGAGCTGGGCTCTGCCCGGGTCCTGAGGTTGACACTGGCGGTTTATAAACCCCACCTGGTGCACCCCAGCTGTCTGACTCGCAGCTGCTGCCCAGCTTTCTTTGCTTAGAGGCAGCCCAAGTGCTCACAGCATGTTCCCTGGGCACCGCGTTAGACTGATGGTGGGGCTGCGGGGTAGGGGTGCTGAGGAGCAGTGAGTCTCTTTCCGGGGGCCTAATCTGAACCCTCAGCCTGACCTCAGGAGCCCTAATAGACTCCTCAGCTGAAACCAAGGCCGGGGAGCTCTGGCTCTCGGGACTCCGGTCTCCGTGCTCACTCAGGGCTCTGGCGGGCTTTGAAAGCGGGGTGCAGAGAAAAATGCCCTCTGGCTGGAGCCGGGTTGGGGGAAGAACCGAAGGGGAAAGGCAGCCGGCACCCCGCCTGCAGTCTCGCTGCCTCGCTGCAGAAAGGAGCGTCCCTTTCCTGCCTCCCTCCCTTCCCTCACCTCTCCGTGCCTCCCTCCCCCCTCCTCTCTCGCTGCCTCCCTCCCTCTCTTCCCTCTCCCTACCGCCCTCCCCTCTCCCTCCCTGCCTCCCTCCCTCTTCCCCCACCCCGTGCTTCACCAACCCCAGAGCAGCGCCTTCACTGCCGCCCTGCGAGGGCGCGAGCGTGCTGCACCTCGGGAGCTAGCTGCTCCTCCTGGCCCGCGGAAGCCAGCAGACCCGGCCTCGTAGGCCGGACAGAAAGGTGCGGCTGTGCGACAGAGACCATCGCCGACATGCCGGGGCCGGCCGCCCCCGCCAGGTAACGCTGGCCCTCTGGGCTTGTTCTGCCGGGTGTGCTCTGGAGCCAGGATTTGCCTGGGCTTCCGGGGAGTGGTGGCGCAGGGTTCTACAGATTGTGGGTGGCCTGTTATGCTCCCCTTACCTTTTGGTGAGAGAAGGAGCTGAGGGTGGAGCCTTCCGATGAGCCCACGAGGGCTGGGCCTGTCTTGTAATCAGCTTCAGCCAGGGAACCACCGGCAGGGCAAGCTGCGTTTCTGGAACTGCCCTGCCCCAGAGCCCCAGTCCTGGAACTGCACCCCTCTCCCTGCCTGGTGGCCACTGTGATGCCCTCCTCTGTCATCTTGGCTGCTGGCCTGCTGGGTCCCAGGGCACTTTTCTGTGGGAGGTGGGTGAACTGGGAGACCGGAGCCTGGGAGCTAGCCCACCATGAGCCTGGTGTTCTCCTTCTGGCTCTCCCAGGCTGTCAGAAAGGTGAGCTGGGGGGCACAGACATGTCCCCTCACAGTGCCAGAGACAGAGGCAGACTTGGGAAGCAGACCCGGGAATCCATCTCCCACCCAGCCTTTCTGATAGCATCTTGCTGATCTCTTTGGGACCCAGTGACCTCAGGGCAAGGCCTGCTGAGCACTCCCATGTGCATTTCAGGTTGAGTTTGGGGGTGTCTATGTAGGGAGGTGTGACCAAATAATTTTCTTATGAAAAGCAGGAAGAAGCAGGCCTGGGAAGAAGCAGGCCGAGGTTTCAGTAGGTATTGGTGGGTTTTCCCAGAACTGGCCTATCCTTAGGTGTAAGTTGCTTTAACCCAGACTGTCTTCTGGGAGCCCCCCACCCCCCTCACTCTGCTGAGTTAATGACAGACTGTGGGGGCTCTGATAACCTTAATCATTATAATTCCTTCCTTCTTTGCTGTCTGGCACCAAGAAACTCCTGTCAGACCTGATTCTAACCTGCCTTGGTTATTTCGGACTTCTTCGTGACCCTGGTTTTTCCGGGTCTGCTTCTCCTTTCTCTCCTCACGTTCTTTCTCCACCTTTTCCTGGTCATTTTTCCTTGTGCTTCCCCTTTCTTACCTCTCTCCTTCATAACCTGTTTTTCCTTCTCTCTTTCTTGAGTCTTCCTCCTCCTGGGTTGGCTTCTTTTTCCTCCTGTAATTTACGGGTAAGCATTCTCATTATTAGTAGATTAGCAGTTGTTTGCAGGGACCTCTGATGAAGTATTTGTGAGGGCCGGATGTCCTGTGTTTTCCTACCTAGCTCCCTTGCTTTTAGCTTTCACCTCCATTTTTTTTTTTTTTAAGTTGCCATAGTGCATGTGTGCTTGCCAGACAGACAGAGAGAGAGAAATCACACCCCCCTCCTCCCAGCAGGGGTTGGGGAATGGCCACTTTGCTGTTCTTTCTCCATTTCTCCTCTCTGGATTTTGGACATACACCCATGTGCACCCAATGTGTTTTTCAAGCTGCTTGGTCTGAGATTCGAACCATGCAGTTGGCCATGTGGGGTCTAGCCAGTGTAACCTCCATGCCCTTTACCAAGTCTTGCCTCCATGCCTCACCTTATCTTGAACCTGCCAGTGAGCAATCTCTCCTCCTGAGTTGGTCCCCACTTTCCTGGGGGTGGGGCAGCAGCCAGGCAGTGGGGAATAAGCAAGACGGGAAACGGGAGGCTCAGAGGCTAGAATGAGAGGAGAGCAGGTGTCAGGTAGGACTGGGCAGAGGCTTGAATTCCCTTTAGTGAGATGAGTGTCTAGGAGATGACCAAAGACCCTTTGGGGGAAGGGAGGCTGGCCTGGGAGCCTAGGAAGGAAGGTGGGGGAATAGCAGGGGGCTGGGTGGAGGGAGAAGAGAAATCTTGGGGGAGAAGACAGTCCTCTTGAAGAAGAAGGTGTTCTGGGCAAGATAGGGGCTATTTGGAAGAGTAGGGGTGGTATGGGTACCATATAGGACAGTTCTATATTGTCTAGGAAAGGGTACCATATAGGACAGTTCTCATCCTCTCTGAAAGCTGGCATTGTGGACTGGCTTCTTTCTTTTTTTCTAAATTTGCTAGAGGATGCACATGCCCGCTAGAAAGGAAGGGGGAGGGAGTGAGAAAGCACCCCCGTGGGGCACGGCCATGCGGCAGTCTCTTCTCCGTTTCTCCTTTTGAGATTTTTCCCTTAAGCCACTGGGTTTGGGGCTTGAACTGTGCAATTGGCCATGTGGAATCCAGTTGCCCCAACCAGTGCGCCACTGACTGGCCTTGGACTGATTTAGATCTACTCAGCAATTTTTTCTTAAGCAGAGTCCACAAAGTGTGGCAATTAGCAGGGAAGCATAAATGAGAAAGACAAATAGACTGCTTTCCTGGCATTCACTGTCTAGACGAGAATGTGCAAGGCACGTGTCCCCAGAAAGCTTCGAACGTAGCGTCCCCTCATCACCATTTGAACCACCTGCTGTATGCAAGTTATGGTGCTAGGTGCTGGATACAAAATGGAAATTGGGCTCAGCTGCTGCAGGTCAAGGAGTGTGGACCCTCACGTGGTCAGTGTTGTGGAGGGCAACACACGGGCTGGGAGAATGTAGCACGTCAGTGACAGAGCTGGAGCCTAAGCTTAAGTCTTCTCCCATTAATGTCTGCTCTCCTATACCGTGCTGTCTTTGGACCCTATGTGCGTATATAAGGTACAAATAATTTTCTTAAAAAAAACTTTTTCCCTCCCAGAAGGTGCACACACTCATCAGAGAGAGGCAGAATGAGAGAAGATGGGAGAGAAAGCACCCCCCCCACACACACACACACACACACTGGGCATGGCCATACTGCCATCCCTTCGCTTCCATTTCTCTCTCCAGTTGGAACTTTGGTCATGCACACGTATGCATATGGCAGGCTTTTCAAGCCACCAGGGCTGGGATTTGACCCACGTGGTTGGCCATGTGGGATCTGACTCCCAACCATCAGGCTGCCGGACTGGCTCACAGAGAGTTTCTTATATTCTCTTTTCTGTCTGCCTTTGGGGCTAGATGGTACTACTGAGACTGAAAAGAAGAACAGCTCGTTTGGGAGGTCACTGTGCCATAACCAAGCTCACACTCATTACCTGGGAGGGAAACAGACCAGGTCCCTGGTAGCTGCTGACTCCAGGCCACTTGGTGACTTGGTGCTGAGCTCTCTGTCTGAGCCATTTAATCTCTTTCTCCCCCCTCTTTTTTTCTTAAATTCAGTTTCTGGCTGGCAGTAGAATCCAGAGACTAGATGCAGCTAGTCTAGGCATTTCACTTCCACTGGCCTCAATAAATGAGGGATTTAACACCTCACAGGGTTGGTAAGGATCGGATGAAATGATGAATGTGTGAAAATGCTTGTAAAGTACTGTACAGATGTTCTGAATGCATTTTCAAGCCGTGAAAAAATGCTTGGGTGCTGTACCCTGAATGCCTAGGGTAGCCACTGACTAGTTTAAATTGAGCCTTAATCCTCAATGAGTAAAGGAAAAGGAGTAGGTTAGGTAGAGGACTTTAGGGATTGGCAATTGAGCCCATGCTCAGAACGAAGGCCAGAGTTATCCAAGAGTGCTTTGTTGAAGGTCAGACAGGTAGTAGGTGGCAAGTATAAAAGATATTTTTAGTGACTTCTTTAGCGATAACAAAAAGGGTAGAGGAGACTTAAAAGTAGATCGACTTCATTTCAAATCCTGTTCTACCACTTATTAATTACCTGATTTTTATTCTCTTTCAGCTTTATATATAAAATAGAAGATGCTTATACCTGTCTTATTTTTGTAAAGCTTAAAAGTAACTGTGTAAACAATGAAAGAGAATTACATTCTAAGTACTTACTAGCTATATTGTTTTGTTTTGTTTTGTTTTGTTTGGGAGGGGTTTTTGCTATAAGGTGTGCATGCTTGCCAGAAAGACAGAGAGAGACAGAGAGACAGAAAGCGAGAAATCACCCCCAGGGGGGATGGCCACGCCGCAATCCCTTCTCCTCCGTTCTCCTCTCAGGATCTTAGGCATGCACGCACACACGCCCGGCGTGAGTTTAAGCCACCGGGTTCGGGACTCGAACCATGGTCAACTACATGGGAGTCCGGTGACTTATCATTACTCAGCAGCTGGCCCCACTATATTTATTCTTATCCTTCAAAAATACACTTTGAACGGGACCAGCAGTTAGCGTAATGGCTATGTTGCTGGACTCCCATGTAGTCGACCGCGGTTTGCGTCCCAGACCCGGTGACTTAAACTCACGCCGGGCGTGTGTGCGTGCATGCCTAAGATCCTGAGAGGAGAACGGAGGAGAAGGGATTGCGGCGTGGCCATCCCCCCTGGGGGTGATTTCTCGCTTTCTGTCTCTCTGTCTCTCTCTGTCTGTATGGCGAGCACATGCACCCTATAGCAAAAACCTCTCAAAAAAAAAAAAATACCCTCTGAATTCACACTCTCATTCAGTCTTCCTTGACCCCTAGGCTATTAAGGCCCCTCCTGGCTGTTCTGGATTGGTGTGACACCTATGTGCTTCCTCTCATCACTCAGTGGTGGCACTCACTGTGTTAGTGTGGTTCATCTCTCTGCCTTCTGCCTTTCTTACTAGTCTATAAGGGCTTTTTCTTTTCCCCCTTATTTATTTCTTCCATGACTGAGAGAGACAGAAAGTGAGAGACAAAAAAAAAGTATCCCTAGGACTAGCAGTTGGTGTAATGGCTATGTCGCTGGACATAGTTCCTCTAGTTCTTTAGTATACATTGGTAAGTATAGTACACTTACTGTTTACTGAGGGAGATGTGTAATAAATATAATTAAAACTCATAATAAATGCTGTGAAAACTAGAAGTTCCCTGGCTGTGTTAGGATGAGATACTGATGAGAAGTGCAGGTGGAGTGGGGAGAAGCTCATTAGTCTCAGAGAACTGTTCGGTCTAGAGACAGAAACTTGGGCGTTGTCGATGTACAATGGTGTCTAATGCCATGGACGCGATTATCGTGGGGAGAGCGTGTGAAGAAAGGAGGTTCCAAGCCTTGAACATGTGGAAGAT